GGGAGGGAGAGAGAGATAGAAACATCAATCATGAATGAGAATAACTGATCGGCTGCCCCCTGCACACACCACACTGGGGATTGAGCCCACCACCCGGGCATGTGTCCTTGACTAGAATCAAACCCGGGACTCTTCAGTCTGCAGGCCAACTCTCTATCCACTGAGCCAAACTGGCTAGGATGAAAAGACAATCTTGGAACAACTAGCCATTCATATGCAAAAAAAAAACCCTCAACCTAAACCTTACACTTCAAATAAAAATTAACTCAAATGAATCATAGATGTAATTGTCAAACATAAAATGATAAAAGTATTAATTAGAAAAATGCCTTAATGACTTGGAGTTAAGTAAAGTTCTTAAACATGACACTCTAAGTACAATTCATAAAAGAAAAAGTTGACAAATTGGGCTTTACCAAAATTAAAACGTTTATTGTACAACTAATACTATTCAGAGAATGAAAATGCAAGCTATAGGTTATCAGAAATTATCTGCAAACCAAATACATGCCAAAGGACTAGCACTCTAAACATATAAAGAACTTTCAAAGACACTGGAGTAAGAAACAAGCAACCCAACTGAAAATGGGCAAAAAGCCCTGCTTGTGTAGCTCAGTTGGTTAGAGCATCATCCTGGTAAGCCGGGGTAAGGAACCTTTTTTCTGCCAAGGGCCATTTGGATATTTATAACATCACTCACAGGCTATACAAAATTATCAACTTAAAAACTAGCCTGATACATTTGGTCAAGCACTTAATTAACTCGCCCCAAATGCCGTGGCAGGGCCAGACCAAATGATTTTGCGATTCAGAGGTTCCCCACTCCTGCCATAAGCCAAGGTTGCAGGGCACATACAAAAAGCAACCAATGAATGCATAAATAACTTAAATAACAAATTAATGTTTCATTCTTTCTCTCTCTCTAAAATTTTTTTAAATGGGCAAAAAATACTTCACCAAAGAATACCTAAGGATGGCGAATAAACACATGAAAAGACATTCATATTATTAGCCATTAGGGAAATGAAAATGAAAACCACTATAGGATATCATTACACACCTATTAGAATGGCTGAAATAAAAAATTCTGTCAAAACCAAGTGCTGATGAGGATTCAGAACCTACATTGCTAGTGGAAATACAAAATTATACAACCACTATAGAAAAGAGTTTGACAGTTTTTTATAAAGTTAACATGCACTTGCCATATGACCTAGCAATCACATTCCTTAATATCTACTTTAGAGAAATGAAAATGTATGTTCAAACAAAAACCTGTACATGAATATTTATACCAATTCTCTTCACAATGGCCCCAAACTGGAATCAAGCATCCTTCAATCAGTGAAAGTGTAAACAAACTATGGTATAGCAAAACAATGATGGCTCTCAAAGGCATTATAACAAAAACGAGGCTCAATAGGTGGCATTTGGTATGATTCCATTTAAATAGCATCCTCAAAAAAAACACACACACTATAGTGATGGAGAACAGGTAGTCATTGCCTGTGGTTAGAAATAGGGAAATGGATATGACTATGAAGGGAAAGCATAGGGAGTTTGGGGATGATGGAAATGTTTTGTACCAATTGTGCTGCAGGTGAACAAATTTGCATGTGTTAAAATTTACAGCTCTGTAAAAGAAGTCAATTTTACAGTATGGCACCTTAAAAATAAACAAACAGTATTTATTTCTTATTCTTGCCTGAGATAAATATGACAATAGGAAAATGGAGAGATAAAAACAATGCACTTATTTTTAAAACCTTTTCTACCCAATAAAAGAGCCTCAATGCAAGAATACACTGAGACTTCAGAGCCAGGGTTCTAGCCATCACTCTCCAAAAGGAATCCGGGCTCAGTGGACAGGTGGCTGATGACAGGACTGGTGCGGGGAGAGCACGAAGTCAGACTGGGCACCTTGGCACACCAGCAGGGAAGCTCTCAGACTCATGAAGAAATGTAAGAACGGAATAGGCTTGGAAAGGCACCCACTGGCCACATTTGGGGCAGCGCGAACATCAAAAAGAACACGGTGACAGTCTTCGCGGAGAGTGGCGTGGTTTCCGGCTTCCACAGCGCTCGGAGGGAGCCTGGTGGTTGTACCGCAGCTGCCGCCAGGCCAGCCTTCTGCCTCCTCACCGTGCCCAGAACACCGCCCCCCCTGCCCCCACGACCCAAGGCCCCCGCCTCCGCTCCTCCGCTGAGCAGCACCTCTCCTCAGCCGCAGCCATGACATCCACCTCGCAGGTGCAACAGAACCACCCCCGGGACTCAGAGGCTGCCAGCAACCACCAGATCAACTCAGAGCTCTAGCCTCCTGCGTCTACCTGCCCATGTCTTACCACTTTGACCGTGATGATGTGCCTTTGAACAACCTGGCCAAATATTTTCTTCACCATCTCATGAGGGGAGGGAACATGCTGAGAAACTGATGAAGCTGCAGATCCAGCGAGGTGGCCAGTTTTCCCTCAGGTTATCAAGAAACCAGACCATAACGACTGGGAGAAGGGTTGAATGCAATGCAGTGTGCACTGCACTTGGAAAAAAGCGTGTCAGTTACTACTGGACTTGCACAAACTGGCTCCTGACAAAAATGACCCTCATTTGTGTGACTTCATTGAGACTCACTACCTGAATGAGCAGGTGAAATCCATCAAAGAACTGGGTGACCACGTAGCCAACTTGGGCAGGTTGGGAGCCCCTGAAACTGGCATGGCCGAGTATCTCTTTGACAAGCACACCCTGGGACACAGCGACGAGAGCTAAGCCTTAGGCTGCTTCCCATAGCCTCGGGGGTGACTCCCTGGTCACCAAAGCAGTACTGCATGTTGGAGTTACTTTTACTTTTTCTATAACTTGTACCAAATCATCCATCATGTCTTTCATTTGTTCCATTCGACCCAACAGCGGAAAGACCAGTCACTATGACGCGCACTGACCACCAGGGGGCAGACATTCAATGCAGGAGCTGCCCCCAGCCGGCAGACCCCAGGCCAGCCAAGGCAGGTGCCAGCACCCCCCACCCCCGATTGCCCTGTCAGTCGCCCCACAGAGGGAGGCGACCAGTTGTGGTGGCTGCGGAGGGCAGAACCGGCGAGTGGGTGGCGCCAGGCCAGCCAAGGCGGGTACCAGCAGGGGGTCCCCCTTGATTGCCCTGCCAGTCGCCCCGCAGATCAGCCCTGATCACTGGCCAGGCCTAGGAACCCTACCCATGCACAAATTTTGTGCATCGGGCCTCTAGGTACTGAATAAAAAAGCCCACAACTGTGGTGATAGTTGCACATATCTGGGAACATACTAAACCCCATTGAACTGTCATTTTAAATGAGTAAACTGTGTGGCATACAAATTATATCTCAATGCAGCTGTTAAAAAAGAAAGCATGAATCCATAGGGATACTAAAAAAAAAAAGGAGTTGGGGGGATGGTAGAGGAGAAAAGCTCCTCTTTACCAAAGAATGCCAGCTAATAAATTCAGAGAAAAATAAGAGTATTAGGAAAATCCACATTTTGCAATCACCAATGTAATAACTGCTTCAGGCAAAAAACATCCACAGATGTTAAAACTATTGGGTGAAAGATTATTGGGGAACAGGATAATCACATGGTCTCAGAATATTACCCCATAGATTACTTCTTTGTAATATAGGAAGAACTGAACCACTGGAGTATAGAAAACCAGAGAACACCAGCTTAATCAAATGATGAAACTGAACTTCACCAAGAATGGGACAGATGTGCCTTCTAGTAAAATACAAGCACCCAACATCATCCATGTAATAAACATGCACACACAAACACACAAACTTAATTTGAATATAATCATAAAGAGCACAGACGATCTAGATTATGGAACTGTTTTCAGAACAACTACCTTGGACTACCAAAATGTCAATGTCATGGGGGAAAAGGCTGGGGAAAACCAAACTAAATCCATGGCAGATCCTTTACTGAATCCTGCAGAGAGAAAAAAGTTATGAAGCTTATATTGGGACAATAGGAAGATGATAAAAATGACCACATACTAGATAATATTAATGTGTCGATTTCTTGGGTATGATAATGGTATTGTTATGAGAAGCATGACTCTAGTTTTAGGAGACATTTGCTGAATATTTAATGATGAAGTGTCAGGATGTCTGCTACCTACCACACACACACACACGCAAGAATCCTGAAGCCATCGCATATGCAAGCTACACACACACACACACACACACACGTGCAAGAATCCTGAAGCCATCGCATCTGACACGCACGCACACGCACACACACACACACACGGGGAAAGCAAATAAAGCAAAATGTTGAGCACTAAATTTTGGAAAAGAATAAATGTTTTAACTATTTTGGAGAGGATAAGAAAGAAAAAGGTGCTTACTATTCATTTTAAAATCTATTCACACCCCCAACAAATAAAGGAAATATATACACTGTTTTGAAAAGAGCTTAAGAGTTCAAAGAATTCAGGGCCCAACTCAGCCCTCCATTAACTGTTACTCTGTGTTAACAAGTTGCACCACTGTCAGTCTTCTCACTGGGAGGCAGATAAACAATATAGGTTGATGGAGAATCATGACTAGATGTGAAGGGGGTGCATACTTTCCAAGCACTCAGTTGGCAATAATGGTTCTTTTAGGATTACTGTAAAGATTAAGTCGCCCTAGCTGGCTTGGCTCAGTGGAAAGAGCATCGGCCTGCGGACTGAAGGTTCGATTCTGGTCAAGGGCACATGCCTGGGTTGCGGGCTCAGTCCCCAGTAGGGGCTTGCAGGAGGCAGCCAATCAATGCTTCTCTCTCATCATTGATGTTTTATCTCTCTCTCCCTCTCCCTTCCTCTCTGAAATCATTATATATATATATAAAGTGAAAAAACATGAAAAGTACCTCATTTGGCAAAGAGCAGGTGCTGGATAAGTTCAATTAACTCACTCTTTCAAATACAGAAATACAGAAAAACAATGTGATGAGAACTTGCCCATAGATTACTACCTTCTGTCTGGTGTTTTCACTCAGTCAAAACGAGCCCAAAACTTAATGATTAAGATCAATTAACAATTGTGTGAACCAACAGGTAAATCAGCAAGAAAGTGTAACTTCCACAAGATCTTGGTTGCTCAAGTAAGACGTATCATAGTCTCTTCTAAACAGAGACCTTCCATAGGGAAAAAGACATAGTTTACCCTCTGAAGAAGACAAACTTCCTCCCAAAGTGATTTTTAACCAGGTCATCATTCCATTTTTCAAATAGAAGTATTAAATAATTCATGGATATACAATAGGGAAGACATAACCTGTGGGTCAGAGTATGGGAGCATTTTATTAGAAAACTTGGATCAGTTTAAAAGGCTCCTACACACAAGTTTAATCACTTATTTCCCAAATATAATTAGGAGTACACTAAACTGATAAAATCAAAATGCTTCTCTAAGAACCATAACTTATTAGCATAATTCCTTCCTACTTAAAAAAACAACAACAATGGAACAGTTGAGGCCAAAGAATCTTTTCAAATGGCTGTCATCAAGTGTTATTAGTAAGAACCTTTGTAAATTATATTAGGTACTAGCGAATGATAATTACCTGACCGAAATATCAGGATACAATAAAAGCCGTCGAACAAATCAGCCACATACTGATATTTATTATGCGTTATAATGACTTCCTTACATGAGGGCAGTAAGGCACCAAAGGTATAAGTTGGTCAGAGGTGGAGGTGTGGTCAGACCCAGGCAGGGTGGCCACAAAGCCATGGTCTGAACTCCTAGCTCCAGGACGCCCAGGACATAGCAAAGCCAGCCCAGGAAGGCAGTGAGGAGAAGCCCAGACACACTGAATGGCCACTCCAGAGAACAGGAAGATGGAAGGTTCCAGGATCCCCATGGGAAAAAGAAACTCAGTACAAAAAAACAGCATGATTTTGAAATTGTCACACTTAAATGTATGAAAAAGGCAAATAATGCACCTCAAAAAAGGGCAGGTAGAAACTCCAAGGGAAAAATATACATAAGAAAGCTCATTCCCCATATATCCAGCAAATTAAAATATCGGGTGAGTTTTAGCAACAGATGGGAGTACAAGAAGCCAGTCGATTTGATTCTGATGTTGGAAAAGTCTCTTTCAGGGTGACATGGGACCAATACAAAAGGAAGTATAACCCTAGCACCCTACTTGGCCTGCTGATCCTTCATAAAGTCTTAAAATAATAAAACACTAGTTACTAGTGTTCAACTTTTAGAATCAACCCAGAAAAAATCATGGAAGAAGTGATTGTGGGTGAAGAACAGGATAAAACTGTCAGCCATCTTGACAACCCAGGACCAAAGTGCAGCTGAGAGAAAGTCATTCCAGAAAGTGGGATTTGAAAGTTACAGATGGTACGGTGGCAAAAAGGAAGTAACAGCCTTAACTTAAAAGAGAAAGTTGTAAGATACTGAAAGTTTGTGCGATATGAAATAAAAGACACAGATACTTAACAACGCTTCTAAAATAATCAGAGACATGGCGTTTATATAACTGGATGCTAAGATGATGCAGGATTGGGAGGAGCATACCAGCAATGTGAGCTAAATCACATCTTCCATTCCAAAGACTCAATAGATTACATCTAAAACTGACAAATTAAGAAACAGATGTTTACAGATGCGTATTATCCAGCAATATGGATGTAATAAGAGCTAAAAATAGAAGCAGTTAAATTAGGTTACCTCTAGCAAATGGGACTAGAATGGAGAAAGATGGGGCAAGAGACAGTTACTTTTCATCATAAATTCTTCTGTTACTTGAATTGTTACCAATTGCATGTATTACTTTGATTTTTAAAAAAACTTTAAGAAATTACTTTTTTTAAAAAAATTATCTTAGAAGATCTTTTTAAAAATAATTTCATACAATGTCCAAATCCGACATTTTTTTCAGGTTTTTAATATTTGAAACAACTCAAAGACTTTCTTAAGTGCTGCTTATAGGGAGTTCACATACACTCTACAACCAGCTTCCATAATGTTAATAACTTAACAACCAGAGTATGATTGTCAAAACCAGCTATCAGTACTGCTGCAACTATCTAACAGCTAAAGTATAGGGCAGTTTCCCCCCAATATCCCTTTTCCTTTCCAGGGTCCCTCACCGTGTTTACTTGCTGTGTCTCCTTAGTCCCCTCCTATATGTGACCACTTTTATCTTTATTTTCATGAATCTGGCTATTTTGTACAATGTCTCTCCATTTTGCTTTGTCTAATGTTTTCTGATGATCAGACTGAGATTATGCACTTTTTGGCAAGAAGACTAAAGAATTGATTTGTGTCCTTCTAGGTACATCCTATTGGGGGTGTATGATGTCAATAGATCTTATTACTGGTGATGTTAACCTTCATCACTTGAGTAAAGTAGTGTCTGTCAGTTTCTCCAACTGAAAAGTTATCAGTTTCCACTTGTGCTTGAAAAATAGCTTGGGAGAAATACTTTGAGGCAGTGACATTCATTTTTTGATAGTTACATATAACTTAGCAATTCTTATCTTTTGGAGATCATATGAAGTTATTTCTGCATTAAATGAATATAATTTTTATTCAGAAATCTTGGATTGGAAAACACTATTTATTATGCTTGGATTTCCATTTCTTAATTTGAACCATTTTTAAAGGTTTTTAAATCAACTCAAGAGCTTCCAGATTCTTGTATAGTCAAGTGTCTGACAAACATTTAAAACACAGGCGCTGTGTGCCCTCTACTGTCTAATTCTGTAACACAACTTTTGCATCAAGTTCAGTAACAAAAAGCAGCGTTCTCACAAAGAAAAAGAAATATCTTCTTCTCTCTCCCCAATTTCTGCTTCTTCACTAGTTAATAAATTAACTATTAATTACTTGATTAAGTACCAAAATCATTTCAATGCCAAAGATTATCAACTTTTTCTGACCCAGTGTGCTGTTTCTCAGAACATAAGCTGACACCAGAGAAGAAAAGAGGGTAGCAGGCTAAATCAGTGAAAGTATTTTTAAGAACCTCAGCAAAGGCTTGATGAAGGAGGGTCAATATTATTGCCCAACTGAAGCATCTCATTGTGTTTTGTCAAATTTAGATGGCTCCATCTTCTTGAATTCTCTAATACTCAGAAATTGGGCTCCACTTCAAGTTACCATATTTAGTCCAAGTTTTACAAACATCCTACCACTTTATTTTCCTATGATTTACTGAAATATTCTGAGAGAAATGGAGAGTGAATTTTCTGCAAGACATGAGCAGGAAGCAAAGTGTAATAAGCAACACAGACTGGAATCTTACAAGCTTAGCTGCTGCTCTCAGTCCTACCACATACTAGCTGTCGGATTAACTGTTATAAGCTTCAGCCTACTGAGTTGTAAAAAAGTTTTATTGAAGGATTAGAAAAAATACATGCAAAGTACATATTCAGAATTCAAATTGTAACTATTATCATTATATGATCCCAAAGTAATATGCATCCAGGTAGTCAAACCCACAGGTAAACATTTTCAATAGCTCCTTTCAACCACAATCCTTGAATTACACATAAAAAGCCTAGATTTCACCTTCATACTTGGTTTTCTTAATACATAAATATTGTTTCTTTCTTAAAATATAATTTTATTGATTTCAGAGAGGAAGGGAGAGGGACAGATAGAAACATCAATGATGAGAGAAAATCATTGATCAGCTGCTTCCTGTACACCCTCCACTGAGGATGAAGCCCACAACCTGGGCATGTACCCTGACCAGGAATCAAACTGTGACCTCTTGCTTCATAGGTCGACGCTCAACCATTGAGCCATGCCGGCCGGTCTAGTTTCTTAATACTCCTTATGAGATAGTATATAGTCCTGAGAATCTCAAGAGTAATTTTTGACCCACACAGGATTCACTGTACATAATTTGCATATATCTGATGAAGGATATTCATCATGAATAGTTGTTTACTATTTACATATGCCACTCAAAAATGTTTTTATATATAAAATACTAATAGGAGCAAACTTTAACTAGAAATGACAAAATTAAAATAAGGGCTATTTGTGGAAGGCACAAGAACACCAGGAAACATTTTTCTTGTTATTAGAAAAAACAAGGGGAAAACCTCACTGGATGTATGAAAAGTTTATATAGCAGAAAAGCACTAACTTGCCTGAGAATTAAGTGAGGAAGCCATAATTCTTGCCAAATGAATCTTAGCTTGAACATCCTTTGGAGATTTGAAATATCTAAATCCTTAAAACTAGTCTACTTCTGAGAAGCAAGTATAATTAAGACCTTGGTTTGGTCATCAAATATTTCCTAACTGTGCTATGTGTCAAGTACTCTTCTAGGTTGTGGATAACAGGCTAATTATAGAGAACAAAACAGAGAGTAGGTGCCTCACAATGTGGTGTATATTCTAGTGGGAGTGGGGAAGGGGCAGGCAGGATAAGTTTGTAAAGAAGAAATGAAGATAATTTCAGATAACAGTGCGAGTGAGTGACAGGGTTGGGGCAGGTCTATTTTGGCTAGAGTCAGACCCCTCAGAGAAGGGACGCTTGATTAGCACTTGGATAATAAGAGCAAATCAAGCAAACATGGAATGATGTGCACTGACAAGCCACTCTTTTTCATGAACATCTTAAAGTTGATTCTCTAATGTTTGCTTGTCCTCTGATTAATTTTATTTTAATATCATGGAGACAACTTCTAAGAACTTACTTTCCCCAAACTCATGGCACTAATGCCATCTAAGGTCTGAAGACCAAAGAAAGATATCAAAATGGACTATTAATTTTAAATATATATATTCCCCCCTCCCAGGAACACTTATCTGCATATAAAGTGCAAAATGTCCAACTCACCACAGGGTTAAGATCACAGGCCTGGAGTCCTCCCTTGCTGAATGTGAGGCTTTGGGAAACCCCACCTTAATAAAACCTATTTCCATAAAGCAAGGGTTATTTATGGTTCAGGTTACTGTGATGATTCAATAAGCTAATCAGGCAGAGAGCTTAGTACAGTGACCTTAACATTGTAAGTACTTAGTAAGCATTACTATTACTTCAATTGTGATTTACGTATTTTTCAAGGAAAGTGTCTACATCTGAATATACCAACATAGGTATTCTGAAATCTTAATTTTAAAATCAAAACTGTATAAAAAATTAGCAACTTTGGAGTAAACTCATGTTTTCGGAATAACTGCAGAGAAAACACCAAATGATTTTTCAAAGAAGAGCTTCCGCACGTGCCCAAAAGAACAAAGATGGCAGAAAAAGGATAAAAACCGACATTACAGTTCAGAGAGTAGAATTAAATG